CGCAGTGGCGCTCGTGCATCCACTCATTATTTTCCTAGCACCACTCTATATGTACTCCCTATCTTCCGCTTGAATTTGCTTCGACATTCCAATCTTCATTTCGCTCTTTTATCCAAATGGGCAACCAAAACCGGAGCACGAAAGTGCATGGTTAATGGTTGGAAAAACTGAACTGGAGCAAGTGGTCGATCTCCATAGGTTACGTTGGTTGAGGCATATGTTACGAGTGTTACCAGATAGGTTGCCACGGCGAGCGATGTTTGCTGAGGCAGGTAGTGGATAGAAAATAACCAAGGGTGGTCAAACTAGGACCTGGCACGAGGGTATGAAAACCCTAACCAAGAGACTGGGTCACATAGGTCCTGTTAGGCCCCCTGACTGGGGATCTCGGGATGACCGCAACCGATGGTTAGATACACTGAGTGATATGGCTGGGTGTCGTAAATAGTGGCGTTCGTACATCTTCTCCATTTCTTAGCAACCTTAGACTACTGAACTTTTCCATTTTCTGTTCGACTCCACTTCAAGGTGCATCTCCTCAATTTCTTCCCAACCTTAGTCCACGGAACTTCTCCATTTTCCTTTCGACTCCACTTTCAACTTTCCTCTTTTCTCCTATTCTTCATCCAAATGGGCAGCCAAAAGACGGCAACCAAAACCGGCGCACGAATATGCGTGGCTAATGGTTGTACAAATTGAACTGAACTATATCATCTGTAGCGAAAGAGTTACACAATCAGTTTAGAAATTGGAATGGGAAATCTGTCATGAGTGACGCATATAAACACGTATTGAGCTTTCCGAAATTGAACAGCAATATGACTGGCTACGTTACAACCGACCACAGTTACTGGAATAAAAATATTATTGGTACAACAATTTACACTGAATACCAACGATCTAGTATACCTTAGTAGTTGTATTTTTAACAGGTACATTGGGTAAAACATGTTGTACAACCAAACAAGTAACTGGCCTCACGGAGACGAACAAGCAAAAGAAATCTGATTCCGTATGAATTAAATACATCGATGAATCGGAGTCAGAGATGGCCAATAATAATAGGAGCAGAACGGATAGAAAATAGAAATTTTCGCAGCCGAACACGTGGGAGTTGGATGATATTCAATAGGTTACGGGTTGGAAACAAGACAGACAGAAGTAAGAACGATCTATCGGGGTGATCGAGAACAGGAATAGTCCCAATTCGGTAGATGCCCTTGGCAAAGTTGTGTGACTTGAGAATATATAAGCCTGTGACTGCATCGAAACATCATCGCAAGGATGAAGCATTTTTGTTCTACAGAAAATGATGATAAAGTGGAACGAAGCTGAGCCACATGGGTAATGGATGATGAACAAACAGGTCACAGGAATGGAAACTATCGACATAGATCAGCCGTTGGATTGTTCACCACTCATCAAATCAGCTGGAGAAGCGGTCATCGAGCCGAGGGAAATGGTATCAGTTGGAATTCCGGGCTCGCTGCTTGTGCTGCAAATACTCATTCCAGCTGAACGAACACGTGCCGAGTTCGTCAAACTTAGGTTGCTGTTCCCGCTTCGATTCAGCGTTCCAACTTGTCTTGTATTGGCCAAAAGTGACGCACTGAGTGGATCAAGCATACGCGACCCACCAACACCGGAACCAACACAACCCGACGACGGACCAGAAGCATCTTCTACCGCAGCCATCAACGGCAAACTGCTCTGTATGCTGTAGGTGTCGAAGGAACTACATCTGCTGCTTCCACCACCATCGGTACTTTTCGCACTGTTTAGCTGACTACTAGTGCTTGCGTTTGACGCACACGAGCCGACTGAACTGGTATCGGAGATAGCGGAACTATGCACGCTACTATTTACCGTGGCTCCGGCCGTACTAGGTGCCGCACTATCAACCCCGGCCAATAAAGCAGTTGTCGCGGAACTAGGACTGACGCGCCAGGCACGTCGGGCGCCAGCACCGACTGGGGCAACCAGAATGGGTCCAGAAGTCAAATCGGCAACTAAGTTAGCACATTCATCCAATTTGGACGCAACCTCGACCAACTCCGTGGTTGGAGGAGGTGGAGGAGGACAGGGTGGAAGAGCATCCGATGGAGAAAAGTTTGCTCCAGCATCGGGGATGGTTGAATCGTTGCCACGGCTCCCTTTATTCTGATCAGTAGAATCATTGTTTGGTGCGGAATCGGGACCGAGTGTATTATCCGTGGTGGTCACATCTCCTACAGGTGTGGTGGTATCCAGGGTTTTGGAAGAGTGTGCCAGAAGGACAGCATGTTGCCCACCGGCGTCGATCATAGAAACACGACTTGAGATTATGAAAGAGAGCACAAAAGAAGCGTTTTAGAAACATGACAGAAAGACTGCTCCGGGTCCAACAAAATCATTGCAATAGACAGCTAAATGGGTTATTTCACTTTCTCATAGAATGATATTACACGCATTTTATTGGTCGATTCATAGAAGAATGTCATATGATTGACTGTTATGATCTACTGCTACATATGGTAAAATCGACCAGCTTCGGTAAGACACTGTTGCTAGAGGTGACTAAACTATTGTAATTCAAATGGCTGACGCAAGCAATCTCCAGAGTGAAACCGCAGCTCATGAGCAAATCGACCTAAAACGTACTAGCTCTAATGGAAGACGGGTTTATTGCAGGATACCCACCAGTCAGTCATTATCGGTAGACTAAATCGTCTGAGTCAGAAATTCAGTCCTGCTGTTATAATTTTCTTTTCTCCCAGGTTGTCCACGAAATTTAGTCAAATGCATCGATCCAATAGAAAATGATGACTTGTTGTGTTGAGCTACCTGTAAAGGAACAAATTAGTACGACTTTGGGAGGTCAACTTCATTAGATTACCATCAGATCAGGGCTGGTGCTGAATGTTCGAATCCTGCCACTATCGTTTAACTAGACGTCTTTTAATCAACGGAAGTCCTTGACCGGTTATGTTACCTTGTCAGAAAACTAGTTGTGCATTTGGCTAATCATAAGTGGAATTAACTCCGTTGTCTCTGACCTTAGTTCTATTTCTGCTTGAATATAACCCAAGTTCGTCACATACTTGATCGGGTTCAGCGCGAAGTTATTCNTTTTTCCCCCCCCCCCCCCCCCCCCCAACTACCGATTCAACCACTTAAATTGTAATCCTTAGGTCACCATGAAATAGTCGCTTCTTTATTTCTCCATTTAGCTTTTAGTTCAAGGGAACTTAACTCACCAGCCCCCATTTCACTTGACCTTCTTCATAGGTTTTGTACACAACTGTTTAGACATTTCACTCAGGGGGTTATCTCTAGGTGAACACTTTTCTCCAAGGAACTGCGAAAATGTGGGACACTATTACCGACTTGTAATCCTTTTAACATATATCATCTTGAAATGTTTAATCAAGACGCCAACTCAAGTTTGAATTTCTCATTTCTACTTTCCGTTATGCATAAAAAACGATTACTACAGTGATCTTATGTGAAAATCTGGCACTTTACCACAGGCTCCAAACACACGAAACGCTCCTATATTTTTCTTGGTTTTACCATCGACTCGCCAGAGAATGTATTTTATCGTTGATAAGGCTTTTCACAGACAGAAATCCTGAAAATATTGGACTTCGTTAATCATTTTTCAATTCATGATGTCATTTCATCCTTCTACTTAAGTTTTACGATTGGCGGAGTATGCATCTTGGATGCTTTATATATAGAATAGTTCGACAATAGAGAATCTCGTTCAATATAGAACAAATAAAGAATGAACTGAAACGATAGGAAGCACCGGGTACTTGTTTCGACCTGGTTGGGTCTCACAGCGCTCCTAACCCATCAACTCAACTGAGAATCGAACCTGAGACATAACAGTAAGAACGCAAGCATCTTAACGGCCAAACCAGCTGATCAACGCTTTTTTCATTCTGTCAATAAGTTTGACATGCACTGAAGATGTCACCTCGACTGGTGATGAAAAGTTTGCAAACAAAATGTCAAGCTTGGCGAACAGGCAACATGAAATACACGATACAGCACAATCTATCTTTACGAGCTTGTTGCAGGCGTCATACCTTACACATTTCATCACTAGTTTTCGAACTGTTTCGACCGGAAGCATTCTGAACCTGACTACTTGTTGCAAGAGACAAGTCGAGGATTTGATTTGACTATATGGTAGACGGTCTGATCAGCTGCAACATGATCAAGCGAGTAGTATGCCTGCATTCTACCTGCGATGCCGGAGTTTGACCCTCAGCTCAGTTGATGGGATGTCACTGTTCATGGGATCCCACCAGGTCGAAACAGGTATCCAGTGCTTCCTGGCATTTCAGGTCACACTTTATTCGCCTTATACAGGATCCAATTAACCACATAATCAAATCAAATCCTTGATTACTCTAACGTAATATTTTATGAGTGAAACCCACAGGAGCGGCATTACTAGCAAAAAAGAACATTGTAACACAAAACAACTCATTCCATTGTATTGATGTTTGCAGATGGACCGAAACATCTATCACAACTTGCATAGACCTAACATCTCTATCTCGCACAAGTATATCATCAGGACGAAAGATGTTTAGAGTACCATTTGGAAATATCACTGCTTACCGATCCTGAAGTTGCTTTCCGACAATAACCCCTGGCTCCGGAGCATCATCATCATCTCCGTGACCCAGCTGACGATTGCTACCCATTCCCCAGGAATATGCTGTTCCTGCATACACAAAAACAGTAAAGCATGGAGTGAATGATTCGAGGAACTACACAAAATGATGGTTAATATCTATAGCAGCTAAATGTTTTTCCAGTTTTTACAACCACTAAACAAACACCATCGCGCAATGGTTGGGTCTGTTGCCTTTAGACTGTCCATTTGGATAAAAGCTTAGTTGAAAACAGTGTCAAATTTTGGTTGACTAAGGTTGCAAAGAGATTAGAAAGGTGTATAAGCGATATATATATATATATATATATATATATTGATGTTTCTTCTCCATTATGGGGAATGGAGTTTTGACAAGCTTACCGCACGGCAATCACGCCACTGGCTTCTATTCTCAGTCATCTCTCAACATTTCTTACTATCACAGAACAGTGGCTCTTCGTGACTATGGTGTCTATCCCGCCTGTTGTGCATGTGTATAATAAACAACATCGACAATTGTCATCCCTTGGGACCCTGTTTGGAGGGCTAGGTGCACCAACCGAAGCCAATGAAGGGACTAACTTCTTCATGCCATCAGAGACGGTGTGGAGCGATCACGTTTAAGAACACAATGATCGTTGGCCTGTGGTATGTGGTAAGCATGCCGGTGAATGTTTGATTGACGCATCCATGACTGGGGCGAAACCCAGTCTGCTCCTCACGTGTGATCTACAACTCGCAGAGAATGATGGATGCCAACAGATTTGACGCTATCGGGATCAAGCGTATACCCCCATGATTGGTGCTGTCACTGCGCGTGCCTTTTTTAATGCTGGAATCAACAATCGATCCCCCTCGCCATCTCCCCCATGAGGAGGGGACTTGCCCAGTGTACCAAACTTTAGAGAAGAGACATCAATGCTCTAACAGGTTTTATTCCACCATCCTTAGAAAGAGCTGAGGAGGGCCATCGGAGTCCGGTGCTTCGTTACGTCCCAAGGCTTGGAAATTTCCGCGGATTTCGGCATCAGGTGAGTCTGTTGATACAGACCATTGGATATGTGCGGGAATAGCTGTGTGAGAAGATAACGCTGATGACCAGAAAAACTGTGCCTCTAAGTGATCCGCGCAGCGTGCCAGACGTCGCTGTTGATTGTGAATAAGCGAAGCATCAGCTTCATAAATCATTCCGCTCACACCGCTCACAGCTTTCCCACTGGTGACTTCAATGAGACGGAGTAGCTTACGGGAATCTCCCATGGGGGCAGCACGTTCCATATCAGATCATTATAAACTTCGTACAGCGGAATACAGTGAGACGAACTTCAATGAGCGCAATCCAACCCATAATACATACAAGGAAAGTGAGAATGTGCAAGGGGGATAGAGATTGGGGCCTAGTTTGGGGGACGGGGAAACAAAGTGAACCTCTATGGTCAACATAGAGTACATAATCTAAGTGTGCCCACACTATGTCAAGCGATCAGTAGACTTCGCTGGCTGGGGCACATATTGCATAGGCCCAGTTGTCGTCTGCCGCACTGCGCTTTATTCGCTGTAGCTAATCCGGGCTGGGCGACACCACGTGGAGGTCAACAGATGACGTGGAGACGAGGCATGAAGAAATGTCCATTAGGTAGAGTAGGTGTCTCTCGCCTTCCAGATTGGGGTCCGAAAGACTCCACAACTTGTTGGTTGAAGATATTGAAGGATACGGCAGCGAACCGGCTGTTGTTGTCGTTTCTTAGTAGGTCAGAATGCTTGAAACGGCATGTATGCAGAGTTCGATTGTGCACTGTGTGTTGACCATAGGGGTTCACCTTCTTCCCGCTCCCTCAAAATGGGTCCAATTCCTGTCCACATTAAATTTGACCACTAACCTTGCATACATTGCGAGTTTAGCAGCGATCAATGAAGTTCGCCTCACTGTATTTCGCTGTACGATGATGATGACACTATTTCAAGTATTCTGATATGATAACAAGTGACGCCAAAAAAATGTCATCGGTTTGGTGCCATAACTTATATGTTCTCCAACCAGCCAGGTAATGAGTCTTTTGGACCCCGACGAGGAATACGAGACACCGACTCCACCTAATCTCTCCGTGCATGTCTTCTCTCTTCGTGTCCCGTCTCCACATCATCCGTTCATTTTGTAGTTTTCTGTAGCGGCCACTGTAAATAAGACGCGGTGCATTCGGCGATCGTTAGACATATGCAAAATCTGTCCCAATCAGTGAAATCTTGAGAGCTGAATTCGATAAGTCGCCGAATTTTTCTGCGATACATTCCCAACCACACAACGACTTACACCTAGGTTACTAACACGCTCACTCCACCCCGCCTGGGCCACTCTACGTAAGCATAGACTGTTGAAAACCTCCAGGGGATGAAAATCTTCTACTCACAAATTCCAGGTTTCACAATCGTAGAGCGGAACTGATCACATAGTGGTGCAGTATATGCGACCTTTCAACCTCGGTGAGATATCATGTAATCGCCACAGGTCATTCAGTCCTGCGTATGCTGTTTGAGTCTGGGACATGGGTGTGATTATCTATGATGAGCCACCGTCATTTATCACGCAACTACCCAATTACAAGAAGCAGTCAACTTCATTAAATTCCTGGGCATCGACTTTTAGAACAGGACTCGACGAGACCCAGTCTTGCAGCATCACCTGGCACTTTGAAAGTGCAAAGTGCACTCTAAGTGGAGTTGCAAAACTTGTTAGTCTGTCAAGCGCGCCTTCCAAGCATTCGATTATACAAGCTATTTCGTCAGCGTACTCCGATTAACACAGTTTTTCTCCGCTACCTATTGAATATCTACACTTAGGAAATCCAGAGTATCACGACATGATGAATCAGAACACAACTAGGTAAGCCTGCAGAATGTATAGCATTGTTGACAAGGGACCAGCGTTGACTGATATTATTAGGTGTGGTTGGCTCTAGCTTTTCAGCTAGCGAGTCTCTAGCCATCGGTTACGCCGATCCTGAGGTCCCCACGCAGGGAACCCAAAATGACCTAGATGGGGATGTACATGTCGATACACCCGAGTTTTGACAGAAATTCACGTTTGTGGGCAGGTAAACTGATCTTATTCTAACTCCTGTCGCCACGATAAAACGGACCAGGAAAAATACTTATCCCTTGTTGTTTTTACGATGAATCTAAGCGTATGATGAAAAAAACGCGATATTAGTATCTAGATTTGTCATTTACCGGGAATGGTAAGAAATTAACCGACCGGCAATCATAATTTCCCCATTCCTGATTCAACCCCATTGTCTGATAGGATAAGATTTCGTTTAACTAAAGCTTTGAGCAGAACTGTCTGGCGAAAATTTATATTAAGCTTCGGGCATCCGATAAGCATTCAATCCTCACGCCAATCGTGAACCATACAGAAATTTCTGTGCTTATCATACTTTTAATTTTGATCGACCACCTCCTGCGGGAATATAAGTCAGCTTCTTGGATGTCTCTAATAAAGGTGGCTCAAGCATGACGATCGGTAGCAAGGTTGATGCAGTATGAAATCCAGTTGGGGTTCGTTACGAATTCTATACACGGATTGGAGGCCCAGTAATTCCAAATCCGCCTTGATCGTACTGCTCCAGATCTTCAGT